CTCTAGAACTACTGGGCCGACTTTGATGAAATTTGATGTGTACATACATTCATACAATACAGAACAAATAACCATTCAACAATTGTAATACGCATGCATGATCGTACGTAACACTCGCTGTAGTCGGAAGGTATGAAATTGCCACAGGACAATTCAGGCCACAGGAAATGATAAACTACCTTATTTCAAGTATGAAATCACGCTGTAAGGCCTGTATATCTGTAAGAGGGGACCATACACTCTATTAGCCAATTTTTTTGTGTATTCTGCAATCGTTGCTTTATACCTTCCGACTCCAACGAATGTTACGCATGATCATGCGTGTGTATTACTATTGGTTGAATGGTTATTTGTTTTGTATTGTATGAATGTATATATCAAATTTCATTAAAATCGATCCAGTAGTCCTAGAGGTAAGTCCTAGCGGCTAGTGTGAGTTAGTGTGGCTTATGTATAGCTAGCAATGTGGTTGCTGTTAATCAGCGGGTGTTAATTTGAGTTAAGTTTGATTTCACTGGCAACTTATAATAAGTCTGACATTACGCTCGTTCGTGGCTAATTATCCTTTGTAGTTTGTCCAATCAGTTGTTTATTTTTCCCCTTTTCACAATCCGTGTACAACCTAGTGTTCGTAAATGGCTTGTGTATTCGGCGACTCTATATATTCTTGTAACTATAGTCACAGAAAGACAGATTTCTTCGATTTTTTTCAAAAATTGTCTGGCACATGCGTCAAGCTTTTACTATTTAATGATATTCCGTCTGAATCATAAGTTTTACCCGCACTGACAACTGAAACGATTGATTAAAAACAACCACAGTACTAGCTATATATTTTATTTTATAACCGTCGTTGAACAGCCGACCCAATTTTTGTGGTTCACGACTACTTATGCTCCGTTCCATAACCTTGTAATTTGAACCCAATCCAGAAGACAAGATGCTCCTAGATCCAGTATTAGGAGAAATATGCCTTCGTGGAGGACCTTTGTATGAAACTGACCCGCATTAAAGTTACACTGAGAGGAAAACCATGTAAATCTCCCACTGTCAGCCTCACAGCAAAGGGACTCTAACCCATGATCCGTCTACCACTATGGATATTTTACGTCAGCACTGTGGTCAATTCGAGCAGAATTCGAATGGAGCGAGATTCGTATTAACCAGCTATCGCTGGAGGATTCGAAAACGATTCACATCATTGGAAGGCTACCGCTCTATCCCCTGAGCCATCAAAACTCTTTGCTAGCTATATATTTTATTTTATAACCGTCGTTGAACAGCCGATCCAATTTTGGGTTTACGACTACTAATGTTCAACTCCGCAGCCTTGTAACTTTGAACCCAATACAGAAGACAAGGGAACTCCTGGATCAAGTATTAGGTGAAATTTGACCACGAATACCTCCCACGGTTAGTCTGACGGCAAAGGGACTCTAACCCATGATCCGTCTACCACTGAGGATATTTCACGTCATCACTGTGGTTTGTGTAAGCCGGATGCGGAATTCGTATCGATCAACCATCGATGGGATTCGAACCCGTGTCACCTCATTGGAAGGCGAACGCTCTATCCCCTGAGAAAACCATTAAATAGAAACATTAGAATTAAGGAAAACATTAATGAAGAAAGAATGAGAGCGATTAAATTAGGTGCGAATCTGAGATTTGGTTTAACAGTGAATGGGTGCTTGAATTTATTTACCAATAAAAAAAATTCTAGCAATTTGTGATTGGAAGTTATTGCAGTCATTAAAAAAAAATTTTTTTAACGTAATTTATTTCATAGGCCGTCACAGTGTTCTTAATTCTTAATATATAAAATGCAGAGATGATATGCATGCCTTACAAAGGCATATGTTGTATTTTTGTTGTAAAATAAAAGATTTAACTACGTAAAACAAAAGGCAGTCATTACAGGATCAAGAACGCAAAACCTCCTCCATATCCATAATTATAGCTTTGACATGGAAAACCCGTAATTATTCTAACAAGGTAAATTCGATGTCAGAATAACAATAATAGATGAGAAAGAAAGAAAAGAAAGACAAAACTATTTTGTATTATTGTAAGACTTAAATCTTCAGTTCATCTTAGGTAAAATCAACACAAATAGAAGAAGAAAAAAAAAAGAATGGATTATTTTAAACCTGAAACAATCTATACCTGTCTCGCTCTGCTTCGTGTCAGTTTTTTAAGGTTGCGTCGTCCTTTCGTGCGGAACGTATAGAGTAACAAATCCTTTTGTTAAAAAAGAAAAATTGTCAAGAAACTGAGAAAACTGATTGTCTTAGAATACAAGAATAGCGTTTTTTATCTCGTTCTCCTGACGGTGAATTTAACAACGGTGGATCATGTATTAGGAAAGCCTTTATTTTTTGAAGGTTTTTATGTAGTTTTAGTATTGTAATAATGTTCAATGGTGTTAAAATAAATTTTATATTATGAAATCAAATGTCATTATGAATAAACAGATGTTAACTTTATCCAATGTCAATTGAACTTCCTTATCTAGTAGTATTACCAGCAGTTGCTGTGAGATTACCATTGTTATTACTTCTTATGGGGTTTGTTAAGAATGCTTTATAATAAATACTATGAGAGAGAAATGTTATAACTAACAGATGTTAACTTTATCCAATGTCAATTGAACTTCCTTATCTAAAAGTATTACCTGCAGTTACTGTGAGATTACCATTGTAATTACTTCTTATGAGTTTTGTTAAGAATGCTTTATAATAAATACTATGAGAGAGAAATGTTATAACTAACAGATGTTAACTTTATCCAATGTCAATTGAACTTCCTTATCTAAAAGTATTACCAGCTGTTACTGTGAGATTACCACTATTGTTATTACTTCCTATGAGTTTTGTTAAGAATGCTTTATAACAAATACTTTGAGAGAGAAATGTTATAACTAACAGATGTTAACTTTATCCAATGTCAGTTGAACTTCCTTATCTAAAAGTATTACCAGCAGTTACTGTGAGATTACCATTGTTATTACTTCCTATGAGTTTTGTTAAAAATAATTTAAAATAAATACTATGAGAGAGAAATATAATAAAAATGTAGAGGACATTTTTTTTTTAATTTTTCTTTAAAATCTGTAAGCTACTGCACGATATTTTAATACTTTTCATACTTTTTCTGTATAATATGTAGCCTAAAGCTACACATGTATAACAATAATACATTATATATAATTATATTGGGAGTACAAATTAGTTAGGTCCGTTTTTTTGTGGTCAAAAATGCATTTATTTCAGAACAAGATGAATGAACAGATTAATCAAAGTATCTACTACTTTTTCCCACCACTCAGGCAATTTTCGAATTCCATCTCGAAAAAATGTCTCGTCTTTTGAGGCGATCCAAGTTAGGAACTAATTTTCGATTTCTGCGAAAGAAGCGAACCGTTGACCTGCTAAATCGAGCTGCATCCGTCTGTACAACCAGTAATCAGAAGGAGCAATGTCCGGTGAATACGGCGGGTGCGGTAAAATATCCCACTTCATCGTTTCCAAATATTTTTTTACGATTTTCGCGACATGAGGCCGACCGTTATCATGCAGAATAATAACTTTGTCATGTCTTTGCTCGTATTTCGGCCGTTTTTCTCGTAATGCACGACTCAAACGAATCAATTGTAGCCTATACCGATCGCATGTAATGGAATCGCCAGGTTGTAGCAGCTCATAGTTTACAACACCATTCACCATTCTTGAAACGTCGAAACCATTCCCCAGATGATTTATCAGTTGGAGCATTGTCACCATAAACTTCTACAAGAATTTGATGCCCTTCAGCTGCACTTTTCTTCTAATTAAAGCAGAAACATAAAACCTCCCGCAAATGCAGCTTAGTTACCACAAAATTTGACATATTCAACAAAGCAAAAAACAGGGTTTTTGTATAAAACTCAAAGCGATATAAACTGAAAATTATTTTGACAGATGTCTAACCTATCTGAAACCACCGAAACCAGCTGTCACTATGAAAGATTCATAACAGCCAGAGCCATCTTTTGAAAACGCACCGTACTAATTTGTACTCCCAATACTAATATAATACCTGATATAATATATATTCTATATTTACATAATATATCGTCTAATTTAACCAATCAACGAATTTATATTACATATCGTCCAATTTAACTAACACGAACGTAAACAAGTGCAAACTGGTTTCAGTGACGTAAAAACAATGAAGCAGTATAGTATCAACTGATAATTAAAATTTCACATAGAATCTCATAAAAGTTCAAAGTTTTATTCTGGCATGTATTTTGCAGGCTACATGTCAGATAGGATACGTAAAAGAGCCAAAAAGAGTTTTTAAAAAAATCATCTTCTCTGAGCAAATAAAACGAACGGAATCACTAGCATTGCCACTCTAAAAATATTTTAAATTCTGGATATAATTTATGGCGAAAACTCACGATATGTGATTTTGCTAAAGAACATAAAAATTAATCTATTATTTCGTTCACTTTCCTGGAAACTATAAATCAAATTTTACATGAAAAAATAAACGAAATATTAACGGAAAATAAGAATTTAAAATAAAAATAAATAAAATCGTTTGGCTCTTTCTAAAAACTAGAATGGGAAATAATCACGAATCTGAATTTTAAATTGATAATATCTTAACGGTGCTTGACCGAATCAAAATTTATTGCTCTGCCGTGTAAGCACGCGTTCGTAAAAGTGAAATAAATCAGTTCGTCTTCGTGTTTTCGCTATTCTTTTTTCAGGCTTTTAAACTAAAATTATTTATTTTTCAGTTAAATAGAATCACCACGTATATGACTAATGTGTGAATGATTGTTTAAGAGAAATTAGTAAACGGATGGTTGTTTTTGCTTTGAATAAATTTACATTTGATTTATTATGTTTTTGTGAATTAACAGAGTAAGATAAGTGGAATATTCGAGAGATCGCTGTTTCGGAAAATATTAATTTAATTAAAATATATATGTAGTATCTGAAATACTAGCTTAATAAAATTAAAAGGATCTTTTGAGACCGTTTATCAGCCAAGCTAGCAATACGCCACTCCTGTAATTCTGGAGATGGAATCAATCCAGCGGTTGTATCTGATCCTTCTTTTCTTGCTTGCCACCAATTATGATCATCTTTGCTGATGACTTGCAAGATATCACCTGTTTTAAATTTGATGCCAGCTTGTGGACATGGAATAAGATCATCTGCTTTTGGATCATAGTCAAATTGAGCTCGTACAAATATCTCACAAGTAGGAGGTCCAGTTCTATAACTTGGAATAATTTTGAATGTTACATTTCCTCGTGCATCTCTCAGCATTTTTTGTAAAGCATCTACAGTTTGATTAGCAACACTAACATTGTTGATTTCTCGAATTTCATCTCCAACATGAAGAGTAGCTTGTCTATGAATCATTCCACCATGCATTATGCGTGCAACAATGCACCTGCCTTTATCATCTAGCTGCAAAGTGATGCCCATTGGTTCATCTGTATTAATGTTGTCTATTGCTTTTTCTAGTGTATGAATAGTTTCTTCAATGTCATTATTTACTATCGTCAAGTCAAAATAATGTCCATAGGCTTGTTGAAGAAGGTCACTTTCTTTAGCCAAACGCTCTAAGCTGCCATCAGTATCTCTAATATTTGTTAAAGTGGGTGCAGCTATGAACACAACGAAGGGTGCATACTCAGCAGTCCTTCAGTGCGCATGCGTCGTCATTGCATGCGTTGCTATGGCGACCGCTACTGTTTGATAATTCTTTTTTTCACTATTAATTTTGTTATGCATTAAGTTGAAAAGTTTATTTTTGAGATATGGGAGCAGACAGATCCTATGAACATTTTTGAGTTGTGAATAAAAGAGAATGTCATCATTTGAATGATATTTTTGTTTTTATTGTTTTATTTAAGAATCAGAAATTCTAACCTATAGTTCAAACTGGATCGTTTTCAACACTAATTCGGGTGAATATCACAAACAAAGAGGGTCCCAAAGGTTAGAGTTGAAGCAAGAAAAAAAAAGAAAAAAAAAACGATGCCAAGGACTAAACTTACCGACACTAAAAAAGCTAAAGCCAGAGAATGTAAACGGGAATAAAATTAGACAACAACCATTTTTCCAATTGATAACTTGTGATCGCCTTTAGGAGATGAAATTTTTTTTTAAAATTGATTTTGAAAATTAAAGAATTTTTTTTATGAATATTAGCATACTCAGAGTAAAAACTTTAAGGCTTGTAAAAGCGTTTAAGAAAATCTAAAAAATATAAAACATTTAAATCTCTTTTATTTTAGTATTAATTCTTAAAGTATATTGTTAAGAAATAACGCAACAAACAGGGTTTTTAATAATCAGAAAGAGTGGAAAGCAAAAAATTAGTATTTCGGCCTGAGTAAAAATTTTAAAGCCACCAGCATTCTTGTCTCAATAGTGTCTTTATTTAAGGAATATGTATACAAGAATTAAAAATAAAAAATTATCTTACAACAAATGAAAAACTTCTCATAAAAACCGATAAAATTTTTTGCATAATTATATTTGAAACCCAAGTTTGAAACCAATTCAAAGTTTAGAACAAAGTATGTTTGAAACCAATTAAATTGTCACCGAAAAATTCACCCGATGATTGTCATACTTCCTAAAGATTTTTTTTTATAAATCTTCCTAATTTTAAAAGTTACCTAAATCTTATAGATTTTGCGTCGCAAAGCAAAATGTAACGCAAAATTGAACGAACAAAACAGTGACGACGCTCAAAATTTTAATACAGAGATAAGTGTTATTATAATTAAACATTTTAAATCATAATGTATGCATGATTTTTTCTGTTGCTAAAAAGTCTGATTACATTGCTTACGACAATTTGTCCATCAAATATTTGTGACTATTTAATATTTAGTATTCTTATTATGAAAAAAATTTGAATGTAAAATAAAATAATATAATATGAACTACAAAAACACGTTTATTAAAGGGATTAATTACAAATGAATAATAAGAATGCTTTTAACGAGAAATTTGATCTTGATGTTTTTTGATAATTTCATTTATATCTGGTCGTAAAAATGACAATGCTACTCTCATGTCGTCTTCTACATTTAACAGTCTCGATCTTTTTTTCGTTTTTATGTTGGTTAATACTGAAAATCCGAATTCACACAAATAAGATGTAGAAAAATGTAATAATATTTTTAAAGCTTTTTTTGGCTATCATGGGACAATCGCATCTAATGGTAATCCAAAATGAATTAATTGATTCTTCCGAATATTTTAAAATTAAACCTCGATTGTTAAAAGGCGAAATTAGTTCTTCCTCTTCATTCAAAGTTAATTCAAATACAGAAGTATTCGTTATCACAAATGCATTACGAACCCAATCCATTTTTTTTTATATCTAAATTTGGGAAATAGTGAATAATTTTCTCCTCTAATGTTGTCAAATGGTCAATAACAATTTTATGAATAGTTCTATTAAAATCTTTGGGGACTGTATGACTCAAACTCTTCCAAATATCCTTCCTGAGCTTTATTCTTCCATAAAGTTATTTAATTTTGAAATCCCACCAGTTAATCCGTTGAGTTTAATATATTTTCTTTCTACCCTTGCATACTTGAATTTATGTTATTAAAAATAACAAAAATGTCTGATGGGTAAGCTATTTTAGCACACCATATTTTATCTTCCAACTAATGAACAAAATCATAATTTTTATTTTGTTCAAAAAACATTTCGTCTTTTAATTCCAGTACACGAGATAAAAACTTTTCCTCTGGACAACCACCTTACTTCCGTATGCAGTAACAAGGATTCGTATTTAGCTTCCATAGCTTGTCATAAATTACTACATAAGCGACTATTTAATGGTCCTGATTTTATATAATTAACCATTTTAACTATTCTAGAACTATTTTCAACTATTATGTAACGAACTAATATGTAACGAAGCGGTGAAAGTGAAAAATCTTCGTTACAATATTCATATATTATAATTTTTACTATAAGCATTTCTGAAATTGGGCTATTGCTTTAAGAATTGCACTTTAAGAATTTGGCGGCACACAAAAGTGCGGCGTCACAGTGATTGAGAATCACTGTTTTACCACATATAAATAGTACTGCATACTTGGCTTCCTTTTTTCTTTCAAACCCCATACAACTATATATTCTATTCATTTTCAACCATTCTAGTTATAAATGTTTTAATAAATATTAATGGTATTGCATCGTTGGCTTCCCTCTTTAATCGAAACGCTGAACACTTTTCTAAGCATGAAAATGAAATATGCATTCATGAATCTGTAATTAATGCAATTATTTTAAATCAACTATGAATTCATAATTCGAAAAGGAAAAAATATCGAACATTTAAGGTCACATAAGCAACGCTAAGGCAACGTTTACAGCAGATCAAATCAGCTTCATTTTACTTTTTATTTTAAATAATGTTACCTATTTCTAGAGCGATCGAATAAATTGTCCGCTTCAGTGGAGCGAAAGTGTTTTCGTCTTTGCATCAAAAGAAACTCTCATCACTTTCTACGCATCATTCCGCTACAGGAAGTGATAGTTGGAACTCAGGATCCGTATCCACCTTTCCCACACGAAAACGGTAAAAAATGGAATTATCAGTCTTCCTGAAGAAGCGCCCAATCTTACGGTAACTCTTTTCATCCTGATTGTTCTAAGATTGGGAAAAATCAGAAAACGATTATAAAAAAAACTTTTTAGTTTAACTGTTTATCGTTTGTATCTTTCCATTTATTATCGTCTGCTAATTTTAGGATGAGAATTTCGATGGAAGCAAGTGAAACAGGAAATGGTTTTAATGATAAAGTAGATTTAAATACTACTTCTGACTTTTATCCCACGTATAAAAAAGATTTTAAAAAAATAATGATATCATAAAACGATTATTAAAACCTTTTGTTCATTTTGGGATGAGAATTGTTCGATGAATGTAAGTGAAAGAGAAAAAGGTTTCTTATGTTCCGTTTAATTTAAATATTGCTTCTGGAATTTATCCCATATATATTTAAGCATTAAGATTTAAACTTTAATGGGTTTTGAAATTTTTGATGAGGGATATATTTTGTCGGAGTCGAGGCTATTATCAAACGCTTACTTTTACGTCGAATATAAAGGATGATTACAAAAGTTCGGGTCTGATATTCAAGAGCGGAAATAGTATTTGGCTTCTTATTAGTTAAGCTATAGAAAGTTATAGTTTCCTTATTTAAGTTCGTAAATTTCAGAAAAGTTATTAGTTATCGATATAATACGATTGAATGTTTTTAAAAATCTTAAGACATGCAATCAAGTAATACCAATAAATGCTAGTTGCAGGGTTTAATTTATGAAATTTTGTGAGAAAAAAATTCGTGCGAAATTGGTGCATTCAAACAATTTTCATTAGGAAGATCGCTAAAACCACCATGCAAAAGTTTTTTTTAATAATTTATTAAGCATTTATGCAAAAAAAATAACATTTAACTTTAAAAAAGGTAATTTCTAAAAATACTTTTTAAAAAAAAGAAAAGAAAAAACAAAAATTGGTGTACGGGAAACAAATTTTACAATTTTTCCAACTGCACCTGACTGTTAAAAAATATCGGTTCCTTAGTTATATATCAGTTAATAATGCTTTATCTGTTATATTTCTGTTAACGATTTTTTTTAACATCGCAACAGCAGGAACATGTTATTAAAAGTACCTGTTACAACCCTTCCTATGTATTTTGTAACAGATTGAAAAGAACTGCTGAAGGAAATAAGTAACTCCAAGATAAGCTAATGATGAGGTTAAGGAGGGAGGGTAGAAACAAGGTATTTAATTAAACGATCTCATTTCCTAAAAAAATAGGACAAAAAAAAACAGTTTCATAATCTTTAACTTTTTAACACCACTTTGTCGAATTAGTCGAGCATTAAGGAGGAAGCAGTTACATTTGAAATGACGTTTTAAAATTTACTTAACGAACGTTAAATGAAAAAGGTTGCGTCGTTGTGCTTCCAAATCTTCAAATATTAGATTCCAAGTAAACTTTTTGCTATCAACGCTTTGAACTATTTCTGCACTAATTCTCTTCATAACTTTTACTTAAAAATATTTGACTGACCAGAGGTTTTCTGCTCATATTTTTTTCTCTATAATACAGGATAATGAAGGAGAACGAAAAATGTAGGGATTTTTCATTTTTAATTTCTCATTCACATCTTCAATCTCAAGTTCACTTTCTCAAATCAATTTCTCGAATTCTATAATTTTCATTTTTTTAGTAAATTAATATTGATGATTATGAAGTACAATAAATATTATTTTGTTTAATTAAATCGCAAAAATTTCATCCAAAAGGGAAAAAGAAATTATTCCAATAGATTGAGATTAAATAACAAACGTGTCTAAATTCGTCATGAAAATTAATATATTTATACTTTTTTTTGTCTTATTTTGTAGTTTAAAATATCATTTGCCCTACTTAGTTAACGTATTAAATACCTCGAACCATAAAGATTACATGGATTATTTAATATTACGGCAACTAATATGGTAATAACGTATATGTTACTATATTTTATATTAACTACAAAAATGTAAAATATAAGTACCCCTTGAGAAAAGAAAATGAAATAAATTGCGAATTCCGTAATGATTACCTCTCATACATACTTTTAAAACTGAAAGTATTTTTTAATAATTGGCTTTTAATACCACTAGCAATCAAAAAGGTTTTGATGTTTTCAGTCTTCGTTTCCTCAATGGTTATTTTTTTGATTTAAACATTATTTTTTATTCCACACTCAAATATTAATTTACGACACCTAATTTAAAAATATTTATGAGAATTCCGAAAAAAAATCACTGATGAGGTTCTAATTTTGACAGTTTTCATCTAAGTGGGAAAATGTCACCAAATTGGCGATTTTTAAAAATGTTTTATAGCTACTAAAATGTTTAAATTATTTTTCCGTTCTGAAGCCCAAATAATTCTTCCTGGCAAAATGGCATTCATATAGTTTAAAAATTAGAACTTTTCTTCACGCTTTTTATAAAATAACATAGCTGAAAACACACAGTTAAGTACACACACAGTTAACACAGCACACAGTTAAGTACAAGGCACTTAAACTGTGGCTTTACATTAACGTTTCATTTTCCTTGGCAAAAGAGCTTCGGAAATGTTAATGGTATTTAACTATATAATCAACTTTCAGGTATGTTAAGGTACAGTGTTTTTCGCCAAGTAAAATAATAAAAAAAAGCAACAAGAGCAAAATAAAAAGTAACAGTTGACAATTGAGGCACAAAACTATTTTAAAACTTATTTTAAAATATATGTAACATTTTGCCGTAAAGAATTAACTGGGTCTTTAGGATGGACAAATAACTTATGTTTTAAAAGTTAGTAAACTTTTTTAAAAATTGCCAATTTGGCGAATTTTTGCACCTTTCATAATCAATGAAAAACTCGAAAATTTTTGGACCCTAGATAATCGAGATTAACTTTTTAACTATTAAAAAGTAAATCTCAAACTCGTTTCATTTTCACAAAACTGGGGCTTTTCTTTATATTGAAGTTTTTCGTAAATTTTATAATTGGGTACTTGCAACTCGAGAAGAAGACAAACACTGATACACGGACACGTGACCTATGACCTCAGCACCAACTGATTGTTTCGTTGGTGTTGCTTGTTAAAGTCGAGCTAAGTTTCTCCACATAAGTTAGAACGTGAATTAACGTGAAGTTAATTAAATAAAATGCCATATTGCACATCGAATTTGTTAAAATATTATTCTGTCTCGTCTACTTCTTTTACTTGATTAAGATTTATTATTTGCTTATTTACTTTAGTGTAACCGTAATATATTTTTGCCTAATTAATCATAACAAAATTAATAAACAAAACAAAATTAATAAACAAAAATATTAATCATAAATTATATTTAATTAAAAAAAAACATAATTAAAAACTTACCGAAATCAGACTCTTGATCTTAATGAAGGTTTCGGTTTTTTTTCCATGCGTTATGGCAACATTTTCAACTAGGAAGAAAACAAAACTTATTTTTTCTAGGCCACTTTCCTTTGGTTTCATTTAAAAAATTTGAAGTATAAAACTTATGGTGCTGCCATCTACACGTAAGAAAATATTTTATAAGTTAATATAATACTAAAAAAAGTGAAAATGAAATCAAAATAGCTCTTCATAATTGTAATTTAAACTGTTAATTGAACTAATTAAAATTTTATATTTGAATTAATAAAAATTTTATGTTAAATAATCATTTTTTGAAATAAGGGCTGAAATTTTCGGCGAAAGATGTATCAACAAGCTTGCTAATTGCATTCCTCTATTATACATTTATCTCTTTTTGAAGAAAAAAAATGAAGGAAAAAAAAAATATTTATTTATTTACTTCATACTATATTAGATTATTTCTATTGTTATGATAACTTTCCCAAGTAGCACAGGGATATTGTAACAGCTTTGGTCTACATCAACCGACATTGTCAATATTGGCGAAAACCGAAATTGTGTGTACGATATTGTACGATTCCCGTCGATTTCACATTAAAAATCTGTTTGTAAAATTTTCATTTAAAACTTTATTGTGTTCTTAAATCAAAATTAATCATTTAAAAGACAAAAAATGACGTCAAATTGTTATAATTCCAAAAAATAAATTTAAAATATAAATTTAGAGATATCCGAACAAAAACGGACAATATTTGATATCAATATTGTAATCGTGTTTTTGTCACGGCATCGATCGTTTTCACTAAATACTGAAATCTGTGATATTCACCACTCGGAACCGTAACCCGTTAAGATGCTGTTTATCATTTTCCGCTACACCTGCCGTCTATTTATCTTTGTCTTCTTATNTTATGCATACATAAAATAACAACAAAAAAAAGGAAAATATATTGACTCCAAAACATTTTCATTTTGTATAGAAACTTAAATGAATATAACAACTTCCATCTCAGAATATTACTAAATATCAGAATTACAGTGGATTATTAAAAAATTTTTTAAATAATATTTTGAAATGTAAGCGAGCGTCTCTTGTTTGAAAGCAAATTTTTATACCAGGAGAAGCTTCTTTCAACGTCTACTGATGTTATTGGTGCGTACTTGAAAAGGACGGTCACACTTACTGACAATTCTTCTTCAATTTGAAAAGATGTTGCTTCACCTGTTAATATCCTAGAAATTTTCTTCATTGTTTGGAAGCCAGTGTAATAATAAAAAATTATAAAAAATAATAAAAATTAGAAAAATTTAACAAAAAATTTAAAAAATGCTTTAAAATTTTAAAGAAAATGCCCTATAAATCTAAAAAAATGCTCTAAAAGACAAAGAATGTCCAAAAATGCAAAAAATGCAAATGTCATCAAAATCCGGGCCTTAATCATAATCAATGAAAAATTCGAAATTTTTAGGAACCTTGATAATTCAGATTCGGAGTAGCTTTTTAACTATTAAAAAATAGATCTCAAACCCGTTTCATTTTCACAAAACTGGGGCTTTTCTTTATATTGACGTTTTTCGTCAATTTTATAATTGGGTACTTGCAACTCGAGAAGAAGACGAACACTGATACACAGCCACTTGCCCTCAGCACCAACTGATTGTTTCTTTGCTGTAGCTAAGTTTCTCCACATAAGTTAGAACGTGAATTAACGTGAAGTTAATTAAATAAAATGCCGTATCGCACATCGAATTTGTTAAAATATTATTCTGTCTCGTCTACTTCTTTTACTTAATTAAGATTTATTATTTGCTTATTTATTTTAGTGCGGGGGTGCCATTCCCGCACATATATCCCAATCCACTGCAGAGGATCAAAGTTGTGATGGCATATCTCCTCAGGGATGTTTCCCAGACCGTCGTCAATACCCCATTAAGCAGCTCTAGTGCGACGTAAATGAACTACAACAACAACAATATTTATTTTAGTGTAACTGTGATATATTTTTGCTTTGTGTACCTGGCAACAACGGTGTATTATTAATTTGTTTATGTTCTGCATGGTTTCGTGCTTATTTTTGTGTTAAGTAATATAAATAAAGTGAAAGAATTTAAATCTTTGTGAAAGAATATAGAATGTGTCACGTAAGCGAGTTGATACTTGACGGGCTTGAATTTCTCGAAATAGAATGAAAAGAGCAGTTGCTAGCGTAAACAAACGCCTCGTTTCAACGACCAATCAGGATCGAGATACCCACACTAAGTCACTTGCAAGTATCCTATTAGCAAAGAGAAGGTTGGCTAAAGATAGGCTAAATTAGAACTATCTGTCATGAACAACTGTTGCCAACTCAAAATAGTTATAAAAACAACATATTATCTTAAAAAAATTTCATTTTATGTGATGTAGAGCGTTCGAAAAAGTAGACTTAAAAACCGCAAGACTGTTTCTTATACACTTTGAGGGTTTTTAGACAGAAATTTTTTTTATAGCAGCGTTGAAATAGACTTGTCATATCGGATTTGCCCAATACATAAGCTTTTAATTTTTTTACATCAAGGGATGATTGTCAAAACCAGGAGGACAATCAAGTATTTAGACCGAAGAATCAAATAATTCAACGTTGCTTTCTTTATACGCATAAACGACTTTTTGAGCATGACTAACTAATATTTGCATTCCATAGAGGAGAAAACCATGAAAAATTTCATTGTCACGGTTTCCCTAAATTATGTTTGTATCTATGATTGTAAGACCTGAAATTAAGTTTAATTCCCCCCTAAAAATGAGGGAGGAATGCGAAATACAGTAGCAATAAAAAAAATTATGTCTGCAGAAACTTATAGAAATTATTAGGCTGAAATTATTTATAAAAATTAAAACGAATTTTAGATATTTCATTCTGTTAGAAATAATCAAAAATATTAATCATAAATTATATTGAATAAAAAAATAATTAAAAACTTACCAAAATCTTGCTCTTAATGAAGGTTTCGGTTTTTTTCCATGCGTTATGGCAACACTTTCAACAAGGAAGAAAGCAAAACTTATATTTTCTAGGCCACTTTCTTTTGGTTTCATTTAAAAAATCAGAATTATAAACTTTCATGGTGCTGCCATCTACACATAAAAAAATATTTTAAAAGCTTATAAAATATTAAAAAAGTGAAATCAGAATAGCTTTGCCTCTTCGTAATTGTAATTTAAACTATTAATTGCACTAATATAAATTATATATTTGAATTAATAAAAATTTTATATTAATTAATCATTTTTTTGAAAGAAGGGCAGACATTTTCAAGAAAGAGGTGTCAACAAGCCTGCTAATTGCCTCCTTCAATATTATACATTTATCTCTTTTTGAAAAAAAAAAAAGGAAAAACAATGGCAAAAATATTTATTTATTTATTTCATACTATATTAATTTATTTCTTTTTTTATGATAACTTTTATCATTATCCATGTGTATCCAAGCCTCACAATTGATCAATTCTGAGGCTTGGATACACAATTATTATTTAATCAATTCGCACACATACACAATTATTTTTTAATTATTTAATCAATTAAGTGATTTTGAAAAACACTTTTCGTAATCTAAACGGCAAAATTTTATCCTAGATATCTTTCGAAAGATATCTAGGATAAAATTTTGCCGTTTAGATGCCGTTTTGCCGTTTTTTTCAAAATCACTTAATTGATTAAATAATTAAAATTGGTTGCTTAAGGTTTTCGCTTTAACAATAGTCTGAGCAACGTAGTCTGAAAATTTTTGTGCAACTCACTCACGTACTACTTAAGGGGGCGCGTTGAAAGTGATGATGTTAGAAAGTTTTTTTTTAACTGATACATTTAGTAATTTTCCTTAATTTTTTTTAAACATGCGGCAAATAACGATGAAAATTTCGTCTAGTTTATTTATCGTTATTGTGTCATACAATCTGTTTTATGTACAATTGCAAGTCAATTTAAATTACAGACATATTGCAATCAAATTTAAATTTATGTTATAATTTGAATAATAAAAATTTAATTTAAAAACTACGTTCTTGAAATTCAGTATTTGATAAAAAATGAAAAACATTAGGCTCATCACTTTCGAAAGACGTTTGGGAGAGGGGCTATTTTCAGGGGTGATAGAAGGAATTTAATGCGTCCTACGTTTTTTTAGCGGACAAAAACAGCACAAAAAATAAGCGTAGAAGAGGTGCAGCTCCATTCGGAACCCTTTAGCTAATCGGATAGAGCGTTCGCCTTCCAATGAGGTGAACCGGGGTTCGACCCCGGCGATGGCTGGTCGATACGAATTCCGCATCCGGCTTGCACCAAACACAGTGCTAACGTGAAATATCCTCAGTGGTAGACGGATCATGGGTTAGAGTCCTCTTGTCGTCGGGATAACCGTGGTAGGTTCTCGTGGTCTTCCTCTCCATGTAACACAAATGCTGGTTAGCTCAATCATAAAGTCCTCCACGAAGGCAAATTTCTCCCAATACTCGATCCATTAGGTCCCTTGTCTTCTGGATTTAGTTCAAAATTACAAGACTACGGAGTAGAACATTAATAGTCGTAAACCCACAAAATTGGGTCGGTTGTTCAACGACAGCTATAAAATTATAAAATAAAATTCTATTTGGCGATAAAATTATTTTTCTAGAGGTCAAGAAAAACGATTGAAACTCGTAATAACCTCTCTAGCACAGAGATTCAGATAAAACTTCAGTGCTCAATCTTTAAGTAGCCTGTGTGAATATTGATTGGCTATAAATTCTTTTTGAGCAATAACATTGCTATAGCTTCTACTTTCAACGGTCGGAAAATTATGGGAGCTTGTACTATCATCTTTGACTCTTGCTAACTTAGAGTACTTTAGAAGATAGTCTCTAAATCAAGCCTGTGGTTAGGAGATAGTCTGAATCAAACCTGTGGTTAGGAAATAGTCTGAATCAAACCTGTGGTTAGGAGATAGTCTGAATCAAGCCTGTGGAGTCTTAAGTTGATCAAAATTTTGTTGGAATAGGTGCCTTAACCCGTTTTGTCCCGACTTTATATATTGAAATGATACAAGAAATGGTTTTATGGAAACAGTTGTATAATATATTATCGAAATTAATTGTTTTTTCTACTGTTAGAGCATTTAAAAAGTCTTTGATAGATATAAAAGTACTTGCTCCTTATTATTCTAGATCTAATCAGAAATAACTAAATAATTGTGGTATCTGTGAATCTTTTAATTCACCCAGATAAATGAAAATCCTGAAAAAAGTTTCCCACCACAATGAATGTTTTTGAAAAAAGGAACTTACCTAAATATATGACGCTGGGCGTTAACCGGTTAAGAGATAGTCTAAATTAAACCTGTGGAGTCTTAAGTTGAACAGAATTTTGTTGGAGTAGGAGTCTTAATTCCATAAGGCAGTGTTCCCCAACACCCCGGTCCGAGAACAGGTACAGGTCATTGGATCAAATGGTACCGGGCCGCACATTTCATTGAAACTGAATTTAAATTCCTAGGCTTATACTCCAAATTAAAAATATCTGTGTTCCATTAAAATTTTATTTATTTAAAAAAAGGGGGCCCCCGAAGGCAGTGACATAATGTTTTTAATATTTGTAATGTATCATTGTCTCCGATTACATCCAGATGGAACCGTCTCATTGCAAAGAAACAAGTTCAGGGTTCTCATTGATTTAACGTTCTAGTAAGTGAAAATGTTAAATCACTTAATATTTATTTTTTGATGTAACTGCATTTTATTTTGAAAGCATGTTTAAATACAATTAAATTAAATTTAATAAATAAAAATAATCTAAAATATAAACAATCAACGCCCCTTCCCCCCCAGCGGGCCGCGGTAAAATTATCAAACGTTGACAGGTTCGCGGTGATAAAAAGGTTGGGGAACACTGCCATAAGGTACTAGCAACACTAGTTGACTTATTCAATTAAAATTTCGATTCATATTTTATTTCTTCGTGTAAAAGAAAAGTTGAATGATTTTTCTTCCTTGAATTAAGTTTTCCCTTTGAATTTTTTCATTTGATTAGACTTATTAAATTGAAAATATTTTGTTAATTGGGGAAATCAAGTCGTTTGTAATCGATGAAAAAACGTAAATAAAAAGGTTGACCGGTCGTCTACGGATTCGAACGTTCTCAATCTTTAATTGATATGTAGGAATATAATTCCTTCTCACAACACGCTTAGGAATTCCTCTCTAAACGTATTAATTTTGTTTTCGTTAAGACTGCCAGGTGTTCGGTTAAACAATTGGTAAGAGGGGATATAAATACACCATTGCCACCATAAAGAGGACGTCACACGTGACAGGTGTTACACAATTGGTAAGAGGAGATATAACACCATTGCCACCGCCACCTTTAAAGAGGACATCACACGTTATCGAATTCTTTCGACAACTAGTCAACCAAGATTCAAAATAGTGTAATTGAATTTATATACGACCATTATAATTTAGTTTTTAAAAACTGGTAAATTTATTAAAATAGTATTTGATTTAATTTGAAAATATAGATATTCCTGCACATTTAAACATACATTTACTAATTTTATCAAAGTACTATAATTTTAATTTTTTTTTAAACCGTCATTCAACAGCCGACCCAATTTTGGGTTTACGATAACTAATGTTCAATTCCGTAGCCTTGTAATTTTGGACCAATCCAGAAGACAAGGAAACTCCTGGATCAGTATCCCCAGAGGTATAATTTGTTATAAGAACACTACACGGGGAGTCTTCAGTCTGCGGGGATCGAGTCCACGACCTCTTGGGTATGGGACCAGTGCCCTCTACCAGGCTATCCCGGCCCAAAATACTGTAAATCTAATTAGTACCGCCTACTAAAGAAGGGGCACGCCCATATATTTCCAGCCAGTTCATCTGCAGGACTGCTAATTGCGGCGCTGAGAATTTCCGCGATTTATTATCTTTTTTGTAAATTCCACGAATTATTGTTCTTTTTAAAATCCACGAGCTATAGTTTTTTTTAACAAAATGCTACAATTTGTACGCAAGTTATTTGAAATATGAGATTTAGTTTTTCACTTTCATTTAAACAACAATTAGTACTTATCTGAAGCGTTGAAAATTGATAATATACATATAATAAAACGGACCATCCTTAATAACTTTTTATCTAATGACCGGATCTTCATTCTAAGACTCACTCAATCTTAATGATTTGACGGGGTGACCTCAAATATGCTAATAAATTAGCGCAGGCGATATTTTAAGTTACGAAATCAGTCAGACACGTGTCTTTTTGTGAATCGACATGCCTTTTTTTTGTTTTTTAGACAGATTCGGATATCTGACCTCCAAAATAGAGAGGGTAGCCCCAAACTGGGTAATAGGGTCTCCATAGTTCCGAAAAGGAGGTCCACAGTTTGAACTTCTTAAAGTCAATTTTATTTTATTTTTATGTTTCGTCATATCTCTTTTTAAGCGGATGGAAAAAATTTTACGCACGATTTATAAAATTCGTTGATCCAAAGATAATTCCATAACAAGTATAACTTTTAATAAATAATTTTTTTTATTTAATTAATTGTTGAAAAATTTTGAATTGCAGAGTAAGCGATTTTTTTAAAGGATGTAATTTTGCATGGCAAAATACAAAATTTGAGAGAAATCGATGGAATTGTTCCAGAAAAATGAGAATTTAAAAAAAGCCGTATTTTAAAAATTCGATTTCTCAAGAACTATTCGGCCGATTTCGCTCAAATTGTGTATCTTGCCATGCAAAATTACATCCTTTAAAATTGCGAAAGAAATTTTATACCTTACAATTCAAAATTTTTCGACTATTACTAAATAAAACAAGAAGAAAAAAAAACGGAATGCACTTGCTCTATATGAGTGGTCAAGATGTTCAGTGAATAGGAGTGCAATAGATGTGAAATAACGGCCATTTTAGAGGCTTTAACTCTGATTTTGTTTATTTATTTATCTATTTATTTATCTTTGTAGTAGTTAAAGGTGAACAAGATATTAGCCGTGTTGGTATAATTATTGCAGAAAGCAGCACACTACAGTAGTGGGCAGCAATCAGTCTAAGGT